CAATCGGCGTAACTGGGCAAATTCCGGGTGATAAAAAAAGTGTTAAAAAATAAAAATACAAAAAAATCTAATAAATTATAAAAAAAAATATTTAAAACATGATTAAACAAAAGCACATTCAAATGAAGTTGAGAATTAATTAAAAAAAAAAAAAAATTTAAATAGTTGATTTGTGCATAACGGTATTTTTAAAATTTTCTGAAATGATGGAAAAATATAAAAATAAGTATTAGTGGCCAAAACAATTTCCAATCTTCATCAAAGAAAAACATTAAAAAAATGTATTACAAACCAAATCCCTTATTTTTTTGGATTTTATATAATTTTTTGAATTTTTTAAAAATACACAGCCAGTTCGCCAAAACCGACCGAAACTGGAACCGACCAAAGGTATGTTCCTATCTAATTGCGCACTTAGAATTTGAAGACCAAATTTTCCTTGATAAAAATATATATTTTTAAAATTTCACGTATATTTTCCTAAGATTTACAGCCAAAAAAGCCACATGCTTTTCTCAAAATGAGGTCAGATTTGGGAAAAAAAAGAAAGAAAAGGGGAATATTAGGGCCAGAACCGAAATTTCGCCGAAAATTTGATCAGTGTATGACCTTTTGAAAGTAACATCAAAAGAGGAACCAGAAAATACACTTCATAGTTATCTAGGTTTAGTAATTTAAAGTTAAAAAGGTGAAGTAGCAATAAAAGGGCGGAGATTCTTAGGGAAAAAAAAAAAAAGAGACTTATGTCTTTCTCTCTCTAGACCCAAACACTACTGATTACTGTAGTGCTTTTAGAAAGCCATGAGTTGGGGAAGAGAGCAAACAGTGAAAAGCATTTCACCCTACAAAAAAGGGAAGAAAGTTAATTAATAATAATAAGGATAATAATAATGGTAATAATAATAATAATAATAATAGAGGGAGGGGGGCAAGGATTGAAGTTGGTGAGGGGTCAGTATTGTAAGCTTTGCCGACAGCCACCACTGTCTTTACATAAAGGGTAATTTTTTGGGGCAAATACCAAAGTTTGTATTCTTTCACCCTTTTACCCCACTATTTCTAGAGAGAGAAACACTATTTCTAGAGAGAGAAAGAGAAAAGAGTTAATGGGGTGGTTGCTAAGCTACCCATGATTCTAACCTTTCGATTTGGGGAGGTGAAAATTGTTGTTAACTTGCTGTCTGGTTCTTTATGATCAGAAGAAATGATGACCATGGTTTCTGAGATTCCTCCCCAAAAAAAAAAAACAAAAAAACTAGAGAGAGAGAGAGAGAGATTGAATTTGTAGATGTTGGGTAGTTTTATTTGATCTTTGAAAACATCACAGCAATGATCCAAAATTGGTTGCATATGATCAGAGGAAATCATGCCTTTAGTTTCTGAGACCCCCCCCCTCTGTACACATATGTGTAGAGAGAGAGAGAGAGAGAGAGAGAGAGAGAGAGAGACGACACTAATAGTACTACCGTACCGTACGTAGTTACGTTAGGTAAGGTAAGAACATAATAGTACGTAACTAACGTCGTCGTGTCGGTGGTCTTACT